TTACCCACCAGTCATTATTCAGGGGAAAAATATTCAATACTCTGAATCTATAAAATATCTAGGGATGATATAAGACAATTTACTCAATTGGAACAAGCATATTGAATATATATCACATAAGGCAAAAAAGGGATAAATATAATGAAGATTGCTAGTAGAGTCTGGTGGGGAGCCGAACCACACACTATATGACCAATATATACACAGGATTGGTAATGTCACATATTGAGTACGGATCTTTCCTACTCAACCTAAATGAAAGAAACGCAACAAAATTAAGAAAATATCAGATATCAAGAACTAAGAGCAGTTCTGGGATGTGCAAAATCCGCACCTACCAATGCATTGCTAGCGGAAAGCGGACAAATGCAATTGGAGTGCAGACAACGCTGGCTAGGAATTAAATTCTTATCAAAAATTCTGTACAATCACCCGTTAATACCCATATTAAAAGCTATTCAAATTCACCATATGCTAAATGCCAACTATTGGAGAAGAAAAGACATTCCTCATCTAGTTGGAGCACTGGACTACTACTTTCCATATAGAAACAGTATGGAAAAATTAGACAACTTGCTATGATGTGGAACTTGGAACCCAACTGAAAAAAATAAAAATATAGAACCTAAACCTGAAAAAAGATGACCAATTTGTCAACACCTTATTCCTCAATAACAATGAGAAATATCAAAAGGAATACACCTTCATTTATATATACAGGGTGTCCCAGAATATGTGGGCAATCTCTCGGTTTCAGATAGAATACAAAAAAATAACCTGACAATTTCCCATAGAAAAAAATTCCTACGGCCCCCCCTACGAAGTTACGTGCCCCTAAAGGACGCCTCTGAAAATCGGGTTTTTGTTGATAACTTTCAAAATACTTCGTGAATTTTTTTTTCTTTTAATATGATGGATACTAGATAAGACCCCTCAAAATACACTCGGCCAATCTAGTTTGCCAGGGACGGACTAGCTTTAACACAATAATGCTAATTTTGTTTACACCCTGTATGATATAGACATAGCAATAATATTTTTAGATAGTTTCAATCTTGAACTAGAAAAAAGGTACTCTTATTCGATGTCGAAAAAATGAGCTGGTTTCGAGAAAAATCTGTTTTTGTGTATTAATGGTTTTTTATTAAATAATTTTTTATGTCGACTCAACATGAGATCCTTCTAATCTTATGCATTCCATACCTATTTTAATGAAAGATTGTTCGACTCTCGACAATGCTTCAATATTAGCCCTTATTTCGTGACAGTGAAAATTAATTATTTCTACTAATATTTCCTCAGTGTCATTATTGCGTTAAAGCTAGTCCGTCCCTGGCAAACTAGATTGGTCAACTGTGTTTGAGAGGGTCCATTTTAAGGGGTTTTATATCCATCATATTAAAAGAAAAAAAATTACACGAAGTATTTTGAAAGTTATCAAAAAAAAAACCGATTTTCAGAGGCGTCTTTTAGGGGCACGTAACTTCGTAGGGGGGGGCCGTAGAATTTTTTTTTATAGGAAGTTGTCATGTTATTTTTTTGTGCTTTATCTGAATCCGAGAGATTGCCCACATATTCTGGGACACCCTGTATATTATAGGGTATGGTATACACTGCTCTAAAACAAGACACAACTTCAGCTCCAGACTGCCAAACGAACTACACCATTTCCACTTTTAGTTCAAAATAGATAAAGTTGATTTCAAAAAGCATCAAATGTATTTCAATTCAAAATAACAACTTTAATTTAAAAAAATATCAAATGTATTTCAAAATAACCAAATTTATTTCGAAATACATCAAATGTATTTCAAATTAGTGAAATGTATTCCAAAAATGGTCAGTTTTATTTCAAAGATTATCAATTCGATTAAAAAATAAAGTATGTGTTTCTATCGTACAGTTAAAAAAATCAAATTATAACTAAGACACCCTGTACCTCCCTTACAGTTTTTGATGATATAAAAAATGATGATTTTGAAATACATCTGATTTTTTTGGAAGTATAAATGGTATAGTTTGAAACAGAGCTGGGCAAAGCTCTCACTGAAAGGGCTTGAAGCACTAAGCCCTAAGCCCTTTCTCAAAGTGCTTTCAATTCCAAGCACAAATTCCTTTTTATTTTCAAAAGTGCTTCACAAGCACAAAGCCCTCAAAGTGCTTTGGGCTTGGCAAGCACAAAGCCCTCAAAGTGATTTGAAAAGGGCTTGTGCTTCAAGCCCTTTTCAAAAGTGCTTGGGGTGCCTTAAAAAGTGCTTGGGGTGCCTTAAAAAGTGCTTTAAATGTGCTTGAAGCTCTTCAAAAGTGCTTGAAGCTCTTCAAAAGTGCTTGAATCTCCTCAAAAAAGCTTGAAGCTCTCCAAAAGTGCTTGAAGCTCTTCAAAAGGGCTTGAAGCTCTTGAAATGTGCCTAAAGTACTTTGAAATTGTGATACAATTCTCAAAGTTGCAAAAACTACTGCGCATACACTCATCAGTTGAATTCGTATAGTAGAAATAGAAATGAACTTTAAATTTTACAAAGTAGCAGTAGTATTTTATTTTATTTTTTGAGTAGTAATGGTAATGGTAATTTAATTTTGAAGTTTTCAAATTGTTTATTGAGGAAAAGTGAAAAAAATTCCAGTGATAAAGTTAAATAGGGTACCTTATATAAATTAATTATTTATTTAAACAATCAGTCCATTAATTTTTTTAAAATTCAATTCTAAGCTCAAACCCAAAACCTCCATTATTAATAAAGAAAAGCAATTGGAGGGTCCTAGTTCAAATAATAGAAAAAAAATTAAGCCACAAAACACATCGTTCCAAAATTTTTTGGTGGGGGATAGGTTAAATGATGGTCAATTCAAATTCCTTTCAAAGTGCTTCAAGCTCTTTTAAAGTGCTTGAAGCCCTTTCAAAGTGCTTCAAGCCCTTTCAAAGTGCTTGAAGCCCTTTCAAAGTGATTCAAGCCCTTTCAAAGGGCTTCAAGCTCTTTCAAAGTGCTTCAAGCCCTTTCAAAGTGCTTCAAGCCCTTTCAAAGTGCTTCAAGCCCTCTAAAAGTAATTGAAGCTCATTGAAAGGGCTTGAATTACTTTTTTTCAATTACAAATTACCAAGCACTTTTCTGATGTAATTGACTTTGCAAGCCCCAATTACAAATATATAAAAGGGCTTGAAGCACAGGGCTTTCAAGTCCTCAAAGTGCTTCAAGCACTTTTACAAGCACAAAGCCCTCAAGCCCTGCCCAGCTCTGGTTTGAAATACATTTGATTAATTTGAAATACAAATGACATATTTGGAAATAAAAGTGACAAATTGGAAATTAAAATATGAATTTTTGAAATAAAAGTGATTATTTTGAAATACATTTGACCGATTTTGAAAATGGTGTAGACATATGCTCGGCAAAAATAGCAGCTATCAATGAAGCAGTGGCATACTCCTTGAAGAAAAACATAAAAAAGGTCATAATAATGTCAGATTCTAGTAGCGCCATCTCAAAACTAGGACAAAACTTTTTAAACCCAGATATGGACAGTTATACCCTGAAAATTAAGACATTAACACATTGACGGGCGCTAGGCGAAAAAGGGGACCATAGTTTCAAATTTTTTTCCCATGGAATGGACGTGCATTGACACTTCTCGGTATTTTTTTTCATTTACTGGGGGACACACAGAATCCCGTAAAATTTATAATAGCATAGGCGTCTGCTTTCGTAGACGCGCCATTTTAAGGGCTACAAATTTTGTCTGCGATTACAGACGCGTCCCTAGACACCTGTCTACAAATGCAGATACACGCCAGTCAATGGGTTAAGAATAACAGCAAATGAAATGGGCTATGACATCACTATCCTGGATCCCGGGGCATGCAAACATAACTGGCAACGAAATGGCAGACAAACTGGCATACATAGGCAGAAACTTAACGATACCAAAAAATATACCTTTAAACAAAAACCACATTATGGTTGCGATAAGGGAAAAGATAAGGAAGGAACATGACTTGGCATGGAAGGAATCTCTGAAGCAGAAGGACAAATACAAAACAGCTTCCCAAAGGTAGCATGGTATAAGCCATTCCCATTTGTCGACCGAAGACACAATAGAATCATAACTCGGATGAGAACCGGACACTGTTTAACAGGAAAATATCTTCACCTGATGGGAGTTAGAGAAACAACAACCTGTGAGTGATCAATCAAATTCCCAATCTTGATCTTTATAATAGCCTCATAAAGGAAAACATAAAAGCCCCACTCTCTATAGTCACAGTATTAAGTAAACTGAATCCAAACATAATAAAACTAATAATTCAATTCCTCAGTCATAATTGCATAAAAGTATCATCACACGCCATGTCGTTCACCGTTCACCACACAAGGAAGCAGCAGACAAACTTTCAAACACTACATCACCACAATAATCACAAATCATACACAAAAGTCGGCCGATAATAATTTTGATTTTTCTCTCATATCAGAAATCCCCATTGTGTTGTCATCCTGTGTTGTTATTTGTCTTATTAACCTACCCACCACTGAAGAAAGAAGAAGTAGTACAGAACTAAGTTCACAGTGGAATTATATACATTACAGTTATATATCTTGTCTTAAAAAAACATAAAGTTTAAATTAATGTGCCCGGAGTATGGCCTAGAGCTAGACGATCTCTGGTCACACACAAATGTGCTAGCAAATTGCCATTCAGGGAGCAGAAGCCAAAATTAAAGAAGAAGAAGAAGTCACAAAACTTGTAGAAACAGGGTAAATATATTACTGGCTCTCATCTTATCTTGTTTCTTCTCATCAAACTTCTCAAAATTTTTCAGATCTAAGTAAACATTGCTTTCATGCAGCTTTTGAGCCCCCAATATTTCTTTTTATTGTAGTTTATGAAATATTCCATTTTCTAGATACAACCCAAACAAAACAAAAAAAATAAATAATACAAAATACAATTATTTTTTTTTCAAAAATTGTTCTTTAATTTCAACTTTATTTTTTTCTCTCTAAACGTCTATGGAAAAACGACAAGGTGCCCTATAACAAAAAAACTATAAGTAATTAAAATGTCTGTTTGGAATTCGGCCACACACACCCCATTGTGAGGGGCAAGGGCCGAAATTCCCAACGTCAACAAAATTAAAATTACAAAATAATGCTGTTAGGAATTAATCGAAATAGTTTTCGTAAAACTTTTGCAAAAACCAAATAATATTGTCACTAAAAAGCACTTAAAACTTTTGGCAGTGAGAAAGACCTGACACCCTCCCCACACCCCTATTATTTTTAATTGCATAATAATTATGCCGACACATAATATATATTATTTGAAAATGTTTTCGTGTGTCGATTGTACTGACATTTTATAATTCTATTAAATTAGATTGTCAATAAAATCAACACAGACTTCTCGGCAAATTCCACTTATTCTACATAGAAAAAATGAAATTCTGCCATTTTATTGGCAATAATTTACATAATCATAACAAAAAATATGTAAGTCACAAAAAAAAAAAAAACATAATAGATATAATAAAAATATAATAAAGCTTACCGCTTCAACTTTTTTTTTTACAAAGATAATAGAAAAATCACAGAGCTGACGGCGTCGTAGGTTACTCCCCATAATCTCAAATGACAGCAGTAACGTTCGGCGCCTTTCATGTACATTTATAAATCACAAACAAAAAAAAAACAGATTGTGGTGCCCTCTATAGTTGAGACAGACGTTCGTTTTCGGGCGAAATCAATAAATAAAATAATAAAAAATGTCTACAAATAATATTTTCAGGTTGCAATATATTTGGAAATTTTCCTTATACTTAATAATATAATCTCTTCATGATAGCGTGCAAATTAAAATCTGAACCCAACCTGTTAGCACCCTTAAAAATGGCATTTTTTATTACTCACTGAACATTACCAAGATATTGGCACACTTTTAAACAAATCAAATTGTTTGTTGAAGCCATAGCTGCTCAGAAGTTGACATGGTGAAGATGCTTGACTGCAGACTAGAATAATTAACTATGATCACTGGGTCTGATAAGGACTATCATTGTAAAATGTAGCCAAACATCTAAAAATCATTGTGAGCAGCCAAGAACTTTATGTATTGTGACGGTAATTAACAAACTATTAGTTGTAACTATTGGATGAGACTTTTTATTATTGGTCTAACCAAATACTAATAAATCAAAATTATTGATTTGGCCCGAAACGAAACAAACCGCAGTCAAAAATGATAATTAAAAACATGAAATGTACCATAATTAACAACTTAAAAACGACAAAAAAAAAAAATAAATAAACTTTTTTTAAAAGTATTTCTTCAATAACATATAATAGAGAATCTAACATATATTTATAGTGTTTCACTTTGTAACACTGCACAAAAACCAATCAATCTGGTTACTGTTCTCGAAATCGTTCCATCGCCTTTTTATTGCCGCTGACTATCAAACCAACTGCAATATTATTGTTTATCAAATGAGGAGGTAAACAAAATAACCAACCAATATAGAAAACATCCTATTATCGAATCCATTTTATGGATTATTCCAGATCATTACGTAACCCTACATACCTAAATAAATATAAAACAAAGACTCTATTTTATAAAGTCTTGGTTTGAATCTTTACAATAATTTATCACATACCAGTTATATCACATCTTCTGTTTCCAATTTTATCACTCACGAGCTAATGACTTTTTTCTGTTTTGAGAAAAATAAAAAGTCACTAATTCCATTCTACATTTTTCTATATGAACGCTTTTGACTTTGTTAACCTCCTCCCTGCTTTGGAATTTCGATTATTCCCTATCCTACACAATACAAAAATTTGTATATTATTTGAGATCAGTGGGCGATAAAAGGACGATAGTGTCTATCCAATTTTTTTAAATTTGTTATTATTATTAAATCTAATATTTTTTGTCTAAAATGGGCGCGCTAGCCTACTTTAAACTCGTTCCTCCATCTTGTTGGGTATTATTGCCAACCTAGAAGGGAAAAATATATATTTGACCAAATATTGAATTATAAACAAGGAAGTTTGCAACAATGTTTCCACCTTAACTGAATGTTTATGAGAAAATTCAGACAAGGATTTTTTTTTCAGAAGAAATCAAATTAGTTGTACGCTTGCTATACATATTTGTGCCAGATGTATATAATATAATAATTTTGTCTCAGTAAAACATAACGATTAAGAGCTGTAATGTATCTATACATATAATATGCAATATTTCTTTTTAAGAAGCAAAAAAGTCATACCTCTTTCAACCATCACTGTGAGCAAAACGGAAATATTGCAATTAGAAAATATTTAATTAAATGTTTAAGTTCTTAAGCATTATTACAATAAGTTGAAACAATATTCCCAAGACATAATATGTACCATAGTTTTTATAATTATCAAACAACCTATTAGAATTCAGTTATAACAATCTTGTTCGTAACTTACCAATGGATGAGGTTGGTCCTGCCCGCCCAGGCCGGAGCCCTGGGACCCACCAGCGCCGCTAGCGGCCGGTTGTTTAATTTTTTCGCAATAGTCGCTTAGAATGTCTCGGAACCGCGCCCAACTCTTCTCTGGAAGTGTGATGGCGGTGCGGAAATTGGTTTTCACCTCGGAGATTCGCATGTATACTCCACGGTTATTTTGACCTACACATAATTTGGTCAAAATCTAGTAGGAGCAAACGATACTTGTTGTACACAAACACAAAAGTTCAACTTACCAATATCGAAATAGAAGTTTTTATTATCGACGTGCATATGTCGTCCTTCGGGCAGGTCCGGTTTGTAGGCGTGTTCGTCAGTACTGAACTCGTCCAGAAGGTCGGTTAGGGCGTCGCGAAACTCGATCATTCCCTGCGCAGGTATCGCTACCTAAAGCCAAACTATAATTTTAGAATCACTAAAACACGCCCAAACTTGTTGACAGTAGCTTGATAACTTGAACAACAATTTCATGTTGTCACTAACGGAATTAAAAAAGTATCTCTCCTTCCTATCAGAAGTCACTATCCGATGTTTTGGCTCAAAAGAATCAGGCATAAATTAGATCTGTCCGAGAAAATCTAACTAAGCAAACTAAACCAAAAGCTAATAGAATTCCATGTTCAATTTGAATGTTTTGTTTATTTCAGATAAAAAATCGAACATAAATCCCTGAAGCCTAAAACTACTCACATCAGGCGTATCTGTACTTTCAAATATACATCACATCACCCCTTTTGTAATACCTAAAATTAAATATTTTTGAGTAGTTTTCACCTGCACAAGATTATTTGTTTAAATATTCAATTTTAGGTATCACCAAGGGGTAACCAACTAGTGGAAATCATTGTACATTTTTTTGGGAATCAAATAGTAATCAATATGGGATATATTATCTCATTCTAACCCAGAAATCGCATTTCATACATTTTAAACGATACAGCACAGCGTACTGGTCAGTTGTATATTTACTTTTAAGACTAAGTTTCAGGCAACATGTGGAAAATTTGAAATGAATTTTATATCCCAACAAGTTTCAACAATAACTGAGCCAATAACTGAACCCGAGACTATGAAGAGTTAAGAACTTGAAGAACAAGATAGAAATTAGGTCTGTTCTCACAGAAATCACAAACCATCCTCTACATCTTCCATTTACAAAGAATGTCTAAAACAAACTACCAAACAACCCTAACATCCTAATCTACTTTGTACCTCCTTCTTAAATAAAATTATTTTACTTTGAAAAATATCTCAGTTCGTTTCTTTGATTATATCACACATTCTTACTATAGGTGAGGTAAACTGCCTATTTGTTCTTGGTGTATCATAAGTCAATATCTGTGACTGTCTAGTTCTCAAATCTGGTACTCTTATATTTATCAGGCTCAACAGATAATCATCTTTCACATGACAATGAAGAAGTTTATACAGAAACATTACGTTAAAATATTTTCTTCTTACATCTAACCTACTGTAACCATGTTGGATACACAACACATCATATGGTACATCAACTGGGTAAGCCCCGAATCTCTTATAGTGTAATCTTTTCAAAAATTTCTTTTGACAATTCTCTATTGCATGGATTGATCTTTGATAACATGGGTTCCACACAACTGATTCATATTCTAGCTTTGTCCTAGCTAGTGAATCATACAAAAGTTTGACTGTAGAAATGCTCATATCTTTTGTGTTACGATAGATAAACCAATCTTGAGTGCCTCACCCACTATTTTGTCTACATGATCATTAAAGCTGATAAAACTGTCATATAAAACACCAAGGTCTCTAATTGAGTTTTCCTCTTTCAATTTAATATTGTTTAAAAAGTAATCATATTCTACTTGATTTTGTCTATTTTTTGCTGTAAATTTCATTGTAAAACACTTTGATACATTAAGTGCTAACTTGTTATCCACAGACCATTGATACAATTTGCTCAAATCACTTTGTAGATTTTGACAATCATTGATATCTCTTATGCTTCTATATATTTTAATATCATCAGCATAAATTAAAATTTTTGAATGCTCAACCATTTGCACTACGTTGTTTATAAATATAATAAATAACATTGGGCCCAAATTTGACCCTTGAGGTATTCCTGATGTAGAGTTGTAGGACTTTGACTTATAATTGTTATGAACAACGATTTGTTGAAATTTATGCAGAAAAGACCTAATCAGTCTAATTAGGACATATGGCAAATTCGCCTGTATTAATTTATCAATAAGTATTTTTCTATTGACTCTATCAAAGGCCTTTTCAAAATCCAGGTAAGCCATATGGACTATTATGGACATCTCTGAACACCTCAAGGGAATCTGACATATATTGGGTTAAAGGTTATCAGGTTTGTGGACGTTGATTTGCCTTGCATAAATGTATGTTGCTCTGATGCGAGGTCATTTGAGCATTCTGAAAGAATACGAATGTACAACACTGATTCAAACACTTTTGAAAAGTTGGGCAATATATTTATTGCTCTATAATTCTCTATATCACACTTATTGCCCTTTTTAAAGATTGGACAGACCTTGCTTAACTTCCAAATTTCAGGTTATTTTCCTTGTTTCATGCATAAGTTAAATATTGTAGTGAGCATTGGTGCGAAAATAAACTTGCAGTTGTTCACTACAAAAGCTGGAACGTGACCTAGTCCCATAGTTTGTTTTGGTTTTAAATTATTTAAAGCATTCATGACTTCTTGTTCACTTACTCTAAATCCGGAGTCTAACAAGTGAGTCATACAGTGTTTCAATGCTCTCATCGCTGTCAGCTGGTGCATATACACTTTTGAAAAAAATAGGAAATGTCTCAACAATATTTGGGTTATTGACAGGGCAGCCGTTGTAGACCATGTTGCCTGGTATACGTGAGCAGTTTCTTTTGCTGTTGATAAATTTGGAAAAGCTTGAATTGTTCTCTATTATACTTCCCTCCAACTCTGCGAAAATGAAGCACCTAAATCTGTCACTATCTGACGGTCTATATGGTCAGTCTGACAATTTATAATACCCGCTTTCAAAAATAGCTGCCTATTTCTATTTTTGGCTTTAATTTCACAGATTATCTCCCTGTTGAACCATAGCGGATATTTATTAACCCTAAAAATTGTCTTAGGAACAGTCATATCAAATATTTCATAAATCCTACCATATAAAAAAGATATAGCCTCATCTGCTTTACAACACTGATAAAGAATATTCCAATCCACTTCCAGCAAAAGTTGATACATCATTGGGAGATTTGCTTTATTGAAATTATATTGTGCATTAACTCCAAGTTTGATTTTGTTTTGTATTCTCTGCATGTCTGCTATGACAAGCAGTGGATTATGATGTTCATCAACCTTTACAAGAAGTTCCTCTGACTTCCATACTTTACAACTTACATTCGAGACTTATACATCTAGTATTTTACCATTTCCATTTTTTATGTTATTAAATTGCTGAAAATCTGTGAAATCTAAAAAGTGATTAAACATTTTTGTTGTTGGGTGTTTACAATCATCCAGATGCAGTACATTCAAGTCACCAATTATTATACAGTTCCTATTGAAATCGTTTGATATAATTTTATCTTCAAAAATATCGTCATACACTGCTGTAGTCTTCCCAGGCGGTATGTAAAATACACTGATTGTAAACATTACTCCATGCACAACAATGTCACACAGTAAAATTTCTAGATTTGGAACATTGCATTATCTCCTTAAATTCTATATGTTGGCAATCTCTGATAAGTATCATTAAACCACTTCCTCGTTTTTTTCCCGTTTTCTGTTTGGCTCTGTCAACCCGGATTATATTGTAAAACCTCCCCACTATTTCTGGTTGCAATATTAGTGTTCATTTCATTCAGCTTGTTTACACTTCTAATATTTTGATAATATATTTCAAACGTACCTTTGGTTTGTTCTGGGGTCTCAGAACTCATAAAAAATCCCCACCCACATTACCTTTGTGTATGTTCCTCAAATTTTTCAAAAAATCTCTATGTAATGTAAAGTTGAATCGTCCAACCCCTACATATTTTGTTCAGAATGAGCTGTCATACATTTCATCTTTTTTTTCTAATGGCGCCACTACCAAAAAATTTTAGAGCTTTTTTTCTTCTGTTGGAATCTCCTTCACTAATACAGAGACAGCTTCAAAACCATTGATCAGTTATTGCCAAATATGGAAATCACTGTACATTTGTAAGCATAGTTGGCTGACTCCTCGGGTATCACAAAAGGAGTGGTGCCATGTGAAATTTTGTGGTTGGGGTGCGTGGGGCCCAAGGGGTCACTAACCCCATCACCATTATGATGGTTCTAGTTCCCTCTACATAACATCTGTACCAAACTAACTGAAAGTTTTCAAATTGAAACCCTGTATAATTTAACCTTATTTCCTTCAGTAAGTACATACACCCTATATATTCAAAATACAATACATAATTATAGTTCTAGTTGATATTTTTTTACCTGTGAACGGGGCCCGCCCCTTGTGATGGTCTGCGACACGCGCAAGAATCGCCCCCGCGAGTTCTCCTTCAGATCCAAATAGTATCGACGATTGTCCTTGATCATCATTTCAGATTTCAGCTTGCCGTCTTCAGGAACGTTGTCGGGATTAGGTGGGCCTATACAAGAAACACAAAATATAATCAGTTACACTAATAGACAAAGTATTGTTAAAAACACTAAGCTTACCTAGAGAGGAATAATAGTCACTAAATGTTGAAAGGTGGTCTCTAAATTCAGCAGCGGTAGATAGGGCAAGGAATATTTGTGATCTTCTTCCATCAGCTCCGATCTAAGAATTGAATAACATAAAATTTATATAGGTTGCGACTTCAATTATAATTGGTTTAAATTCTAAAACCTACTTACTTCTGCAACTTTTATAAATCTGCCTCTGCGATTTTGTTTTACATCCAAATAAAATCTTTTGCTCTGGATCTGGAGCATTTTAGTTGCCAGCTCTTGCTCCATTTGACCTTGCTGGCCTGAAAAGGAAAATTGATTTGAAGAGATTATTAAATAACAAGGAATAAAACTTCTTATTGCAATACATGTTTGAAATGAAGATGCCAAATGCTAAATGCTCAGGTGGCTTTAAAGACAAAAATCTAATGAATTTAATTTGGAATGAATGGAATGATGGATTTCATCAATCTAAACCTATGTTTCTTGGTAATCAAACATTGATTGACCAATTTGTGATGTGATATAATTTTGAAATAGCTGTATGTTATTTCAACTTTTGGAAAATTATCCACAAAGGAATAATAACCAATGAACAAAATTGATCGTCATCTATACCTTTTTTTCAATAAAATAAACCTGCTATAAATCATTGCATTTTACTAGGTGAAAGCAATACATTTTTTTATCTGAACTAGGCAAGAACCAAAATAAACCTGTTATATTATCAGGAGGAACACATGATAGGAATATTGGGCATACATTTTTGGACAATCTTTTATTGAGTAAAAAAATAATTTGAGAATAAAAAATAGCAAATAGATAATGTGCTATTCTGCCTAGGAAAACATGTCTGTGAATACCTGAAATACACACTGTTTTATACTTCAGATTTAAAGCTGAAGAAAAAAAGCCAATTCCTGTGCAAAAGTTTGTGAAAAACTGAATAGAGGGAAAGGCAAGCTTGATGAACCTGATTTCCTCGCTGATTTCATACTATCAAATTTTTCTCAGCACCCTATTCTGGATGCCACTTCATTATACCTATATGTATAGTAATTGAATACAACCTATTTGTCTTCTATATTAAAATGTCACATAAATAAAACATAGGTAAGTAATAGGATTATTGATTATTAATTTACTATTTATTCATACATCCATTTGCCGTATTTTAGGTACATATTAAATTGATTTTGAGTAGATTCAGGGATAATTCTTTTCAGTTAACCCAACTTGAAGCAAAATAATGAATTATTACTCGAATTATTATCATACATGCACTTTTTCTTTTAACTTCCATTTCAATCATTACAAACTTATTTTGGGAGGTTTGAGGAAATCAGGGTTGAAAAAAATCCTGATTTTTGAAAATTTCTATTGGTTTTTTTGTATTTTTGTAGGAAAAAATCAAAACTAAGAAAAAAAACATGAACTTGTCGTAGTTTTCAAATTTTTTCCTGATTTCATTTGAAAAGATTTTGAAAAACTAATTTCACATTCTCATTGTCACTTTTCTACAAGATGGCCGTATTGAATTTAAAATCCAACGTTTCGTTCCTCTGGAATCATCATCAATTTCTTTATTTTTTAAATACGGACCTGCTTTTTTACTGTGTTATTGAAAAATTATAAACAGTATCGGTTTTAGGATGCCCAAATATGACAAAATCGCAAATAAAAAATCCAGGTTCGTATTGAAAAAAAGTAAGGTGAAGATGGCCTCCTGAAGACAAAACGTCGGATCTTAAATTTAGTAGCGTCATCTTCTAAAGGAGAAAAAGTGACAATGATGAAGTGATCTTTATTTTAAAATTGCTCTTCAAATAAGCCTGAGAAATAATAAAAACGATTTTTCAAAATTTCGGTTTTTTCCAAATATCTCCGGAAGTATTCGGAATCTTTCTAATTACAAAACGGCATTCTATTGGTCATGAAGTTGCGCAACTTTGCCATAATTTAACTGATACTGTATCTCTTACAGTTTCTGAGATCCCAATGATGAGGCTCGAATTTGGGCCAGAAAAATGTGAATAATCCGAGGTTTATTATCAATCTTAACTCAAGTTTTCTTTAAATTATTTTCAGATGTTGTGATTTGCTCAGGTACTTATACTACCAGATATCTGATTCAGAACAATGTCATGTGTAGGTATTTTAAATGGACAAGATTTTGAAGAAGTTTTCTAGATTCTATAAGCTCATCTGGGTCGGTATTCTGGTTCTCAAAAACGCTCACCGCTTTCTAGTCGCTCGGCACTTTAAATGCAAATTTACATTGAAAGTGCCGAGCGACTGAAAAGCGGTGAGCGTTTTCGAGAACGAGAATACCAGCCCTGATCTACATCTATTAAGCATTTTGTCAAATCTAGAGCTAAAATGCAGCTCAGATAGCAAATATACAGTTATGAGTACTTTAACTATCAGATTCTAGGATTTGCTCATATTTTTCTGAGCCGCAGATCCAGAGAGAGATTTGAAAAGAAGCTTCATTGGCTGATCTGTATTGTTTTAATTTTCAAATTGACGTGGAATGTACTCAAGAACGGAAAAAAAAAGATAAACACTAGATTTAAGTATTTGTTTTTTATATTTTTTAGAAGTACTAGTGACATTTATACATACTTATAAGCAGTTATAAGGCTTTGTCAATGAATACCCTGTATTTTGGACAATAAAGCATATTTGATTTGATTTGATTTGATTTGATAAATCTTGAAGCCAAGTTTTGAATTTCTCAGATCCAGAGCAAGAATGTTGGGGTAGTGGAGTGGTTTTTTTTTCTTCACTACTCTCATTTTTCATTCCAATTGTTGTCTATTTGAGATCAATAAATTATGAACATTCAAAACAAATTCAAGAGCCTGGAATAGGAAAATCACTTTGATAATTTAGCTTATTGTTTTTACCCTATAAAATTCTCTATTTATTTATTGCTAATAATCCTAACTTTAGTTTTTTTTTTGAATGTATGTTCAGATTCTGTGATTTGCTTATGTAGGTACTCCCAGATATCACAGATTCAAAGCAAAGTCAGATGTATTTTAGATGGATAAGAAGATTCTAGAAATCACATTTTTAAGAAAAAGTTTTAGATTCTAGGAGGCAGTGACGATTTTTGGTACTTATTTTCCCAGTCAGGCAACATGGATAGAATTGTAGGGTTAGTAATTCTAAGCAAAATTCATATATTTTTAGGGGGGGTTTCTAATGGGTTGAGGCGCAAAATGCGTTACAGATTACGAATGCACGGCCCTTTTTTTCCAGTGATAAAAATAGGTCTACTTATGAGAAGTATACTGAAGTTACATAAAAAAAATAGTCCAGCTAATCTGTGAGTATGGATAATACGTCTGGCAAGTGAAAAGTTGATGATGCGAAAAATTTCAACCAGACTCACTCTTCAGTATCTGAGATAAGCCAAATTGCCATTTTTATATACTTTATGTTCTATTGTAGTGAATGTGAAATATTGATGACTGGGAAAATAAGTGTACTTTTCATTGATCTTGTGAACCCATCCGAAAATTTTTACGAAACTCAAATATTCTTGTTTTGTATCACCAAGAGAACAGTCTATTTAATATACACTAACTGGAAAAATAAGTGCTAAAAAATTTCACTGCCTCCTGGACTAACAGGTCAGATGACAAACATAGAGTTTTTCAGTAATTCAACGTCATTGATTTCAACTCACACTCTATGATTTGCTCATATTTTTTTGAGCCTCAGATTTAGAGAAAAATTTGAGAGGAAGCTTCATTGGCTCACAACTTTTGAAACCAAGTTTTGAATTCCTCAGATCCAGAGCAAGAATGTTGGTGTAGTGGAGTAGTTTTTTCTCTACTACTTCAATTTTTCACTCCAAATGTTGTCTATTTCAGACTACTGAATCATGAACATTTGAAACAATTTCAAGAGACTGGAACAGGAAAATTATTTTAAAAATTTAGCTTATTGTTGGTACCCCGTGAAATTCTTGGAATAATCTGAGATTTTCAATTGATATTTGTCAATCTGTGGTCACTATGGCAGGAATTTTAATTGAAAAAAATCCAAATTAAGGCGCAGTTGATAATTATTTCTGTATGAATGGGGTATTAATTTTTTGCGTATGCCATCCCTGGGGAAGATTCAGGGAAATCTAAGGGGATCTACAAGAGATCTGGTAGTCGATTCTCGAATTTGGTAGAAGTGAATGTTCCCCTAAGAGAAGTGCGAGATCACATCGCACGCTCGTTCTCTTGGTGCCAAAGTTGGTATTCTCGAATTTATGGGATTATGAGAGAATGAGAGAAAACTTGTCAAATCATAATGCGTTGTTGCCAACAGCACAATTTTAGAGTTAAAAAGGACGAATGTCATGAGAAAGAAGAAAATCAGTTTGTTTTATTTGTATTTTGGGACGAAACCTCATCATTATTTGTTTATTTATTTACTGAAAATCAAATCATTAATCATTTTAGTAAAAAAGTTTTTTCCGGGCTATAATGCCGTGGTCCATTAGTATTTCTACTTAACGTTTTGTCTACTGCTGTGGTAGACATCTTGAGAGGGGGTGTGGTAGAGGACGAAGTGTTCTCTTCCGTCTTCCTCCGACGACTGGATTCGACGTGGTTGGACCTGCATTGGACCCCTGGATATGAATAACGCAGATCCAACAACGCCGAATCCAGTCGTCGGAGGAACACGGAAGAGAACACTTCGTCCTCTACCACACCGCCTCTGAAGATGTCTACCGCAGTAGTAGACGAAATGTTAGGTAGAAATACTAATGGACCACGGCATTATAGCCCGGAAAAACTTTTACTAGATTTGACTGGCCGTGAAAGCCTTCATTCTTTAATTAATCATTCTATTTTCAATTTTTATTTTGTTTATGTGGAAAATAAATTTGGAAAAATCAAGATGTTCACCTATACATCATACTCAAAAAGAAATGCTCATTGAATTTGTAAGGTAAAATGAGAAACTTCAAAGTGAAAAATTTACCTCCGATTTTACCACAGTTTCTAATGATGAAATTCTAATTGGAGCCCGTATAAAAGGTGACAATAAATCAATTAAATTTCGAGTAAGATGTTTGCTTAATCTAAATAGTTTTATAAATTTATTATCCGTTAAATCAAAAGGATTTTCTCTTCTGTAAAATCTCCTGACAGGCCTTTCTTCTTGCTCTTCTGCATCTAGTAGATCATTCAGTACAAGAATTCTTCCTATAACCCCAGCTTCCATGGTTTCCCACCCCACGTTTTCGTATTGGACCGTATTTTCCACTTCAACACTACCTATATGCAAATGTACCCAATTGGCAATTATTGATAATAAATTATTTGCAAAACAAACAAAAAAATACCATGGATGATGACTGTAGAACTGACAAAAAGCGCATGCTTGACGTTTGGTTCTCCCAAGAACAGACGTTCTCTTCAAAAAAAGTAGTAAAATAAAATTCTCTCAACTTTCATAGGAAGTGAACGGTCCCTAATTTCGAGAATACGTCGTAAGAGATTTTAATAGAACCACGCCTATTTTTCCTATGAGAACAGGGATCACACGATTCGAGAATCGCCGTCCTGAGGGAAATCTTACTGAGAGGGATCGTACACGCATTCAGAATTTAATTTTCTATTGATTGAGAATATTCAAGAGGATATCATGTTACCAGGTTTAACACTGAAATAAAAATAGTATAACTCATATTGTAATGAATGTAGCTTTGATATTGACAGGAATTAGGAAAGTACTAGATCAAGAGAGAATGCACATGCTAAAATCCGTTTTTTTTTTAAAGATAATTCCCCAAGTCAAAAATTTAGTAACTATGTTGGCAACACAAGCCTTTTCTACATACAAAATTTGAAAGCATTGACAATTTTACATTGTATTGCCAACATAATGTCAGTTTGACTTTTATCTTTAAAAAAAAAAACACACTTTATGTTGAGGAGAAGACCCCAAGAGATGTGATCTGACTTTGCACTTCTGCTGGTATTCTATGAAATCCATGAAAAATTAAGGAGATCTAGCGAAATCTTAGGGGTATCTATGCGAGTATCTATGTGGATATCTTTTTCATAAAGATATTTCTTGTAAACTTAAATATTTTGTGATCAACCCCTTGGTCTATTATGTCTATCTGTGTTAATATGTCATTGCTTAAGCCCAACACATTCTGAAATGTTTATTTACTGTAAAAATTTGGTTTGTTACACTTGGAACTCAAATGGGGGTCAACAATTTTTGTACTATTTTTTTTTTATCACAATGGTACCTATTTAAATTAAATTAGAGATGAAAATTAAGTACCTATTTGGGAAAAAAAAAATGTTACTATCAGTATAAACCTACTTGGATCATGCCAATATTGAATTTTCCCAAAAAGCCACTCAGTATTAACAAATTCCATTTTTAGTAAACTTATTTCACACACTACGTATCAAAATAATTAATGAATTAGCACTACTTATAAAATAAACAAATCTCAAAATTTGAAGAAAAAAAATGCTGTTCCATCAGCGAAACGCGGGATGATACTGAGACATGAATCATCTTAAATGGAATAGTAAAAATGTGCTACTACAGAAGTCACTCAACAAAATTCTGGGAAGCCAATGAATGACTCACCAATTGGAATTTCATTCATAAAATTGCAGGAATCGCTTCATTGCTAAAAATGAAGTCAGCTGAGAAGGGGATTAGGATCATAACTTACTGCTGATTCCAAGACTGATTCTATTGAATTGAAAAAAAAAAAAGAACAAAGGGGTTGATTTTGTAATAGCAATATTGTGCCGAAGGGTTTGTTTTTGGTAATCAAATTTTTTTAAATGAAATCTTAAGCAACTTTTTAGTTATTTGGGATGTAAATTTGAATTTAAAAGGCTAAATAGAGAGAACAATGGGCCTGCTCTTACCTGAATCATATTCACTTCCTTGCTCCATGCCGTGATATTCTAAAAAGCAAATAAGAATATGCGTTATAAAAAAATCACTGTAATGATCGAGATGTCCTACTGAAGGGCTAACGATGCAAAATCAAACATTTTTTTTTTTTTTTAATAAAAATTGATCAAAAACATCAATTCGGACATAAGGTTGAAAATACCGTGTTTTGACATTCACTTTGAAGTGGAAAGGCAACCAAACTGACGTTGGCCAAGGTCACTATTTTCGCCTATGACAATAATTCAGATATTGCAGCTTTTCTGCGGCTTTTTTGGCCTAATTCCGGTAATGTTTCAACTTGCAACCAATTAATTTTTAAACTTGCAACCCTGCTCGACCAATCCATATCGGAATTTCATATCAAATTCAAAGAAATTCAGGAAAATTACGATAAATCCTGGGGCCGAGCAATCGAACTTTACGCCATCTTGGTACACTCGACAAGTTTAGAAAGTGGTTTTCGTATCGAAATCGTGGTCATTTCGGCACGAAATTTGGTACACCGATTCATCGAACAGTAAATTTTCGCCGGACAATGGAATTTCGGGCTTAGAATTTACTCACTTTGCGAACTTGAACCTTCATCTCCGCTACCTATATCCGACATCGCAAGCCCTACTCACACACACACACAACACAACCTCCCCGCTCCACTACCGCCTGATGTTTAGAGTTTAGGGGAATTCTGGGAAAATCGAAAATTTACTAGATTATCTGTCAATGTCGTAGACAGGAACGGACTCGGGAAAATTTTCAATTAAGCTATGTTTACATTTTTTGATTTCAATTTAAATATAATTTTGACAGCTGAAAAACTATAAAAAAACTATCGAAAATTGTCGATAATATTACGAAAATCGTTTAAGAATCGATTTCAAAATATCGGGTACATCGAGAGGACATACAGAGTGTACGATTCTGCGCAAAACCTAAAATGTGTGCCTAGAATCGGAAATGCGTATTCCCTCATTCTCACTTGCGCGAAATTCGCGGCACTGAAGATGTCGAGTTGCAGTTTTCACTGAACTGCTTATGGCGATCTCGATTTGATAGCCCTCGGTGCGCTCTTTTGGCGACAGTTTATGTTTAAAGCATTGTTTATCTGTCAAATTACCGTTCACAATAACTCTTTTCATTTGGCTCCGGTTTAACAAACCGCAACATACCGCTCAAATTCGAGTGGTAGGTATCCATCACGTCACTGTGTAACCGGGTTAGAAAACGGTATGTCATTTCTCTAACCGTTTTGTAACCCGGTTAGTTAAACCGGAGCCACGTGAAAAGAACTAATCCGACAATTCTTTAGTTTTCCATTTTAGTTTTCTCACGCTATTTGATTAGAAAAATCGAGCGATAAATGGAATGGCAACCGCTCGACAACTCTACTTCAAACAGCGCGTTATAGTAGAAATCAATGACGTAGAAATAGAACCCATCTCGTCCATTGACCTTTTGTTTGGACGCCATATTGCGGTGCGCGAACATAGTTGCCAAAAGAAGAAAACAAAAATTACTAGCGGGCTGTCAACATTAAAAACAAAAGTTACTAAATGATGATATGTTTTTAATGTTGACAGTACGCTAGTAATTTTTTTTTTTCTACTTTTGGCAACTATGTTCGCGCACCGCAATATGGCGTCCAAACAAAAGGTCAATTGACCTTTTGTTTGGACGCCAATTGCGGTGCGCGAACATAGTTGCCAAAAGAAGAAAACAAAAATTACTAGTGGGCTGTCAACATTAAAAACAAAAGTAACTAAATGATTGATCCTCGCTATACTTTTTGTTTGTTTACTTTCTCTCTCTGATTGATGAAAGTAAATAGGTAGATATTCTATTATTTCTATTCTGCCCAATACAAGCTAAAATTGGATTTTGTTTTCAAAAACATTCGTAATAGGCGGCAAATTCAAATTTAAAATCTAATTTATTCAGTAACTTTTGTTTTTAATGTTGACAGTACGCTAGTCATTTTTTTTTCTACTTTTGGCAACTATGTTCGCGCACCGCAATATGGCGTCCAAACAAAAGGTCAATTGATTTTATACAAAAGCCCCCACCATGCCAAATCACCAGTAATGACCGACTGGTTAATTGCCTTTAATCGATGTTGGTTTTACAACATCAATTAACATATAAAATAACTCTTTTTTAGATTTTAGATCTCGTTTGCATCTTTCATATTCCTCTTTGCCTATTATGTTAATTAAAATTAAATCATATTTTCATCATAAATTTAAATTCTAAACTACGTCCGCTGGCGCAAAAAGCTGACGACTTAGTGACGTCGGCAATGGTGCTACACTATTGACCTTATGACCGCGACTACAAAAAAACGAGGCCGATAAGCAATCCTGTATTGTCCGTCGATTTTTAACTGATACTTGCGGTATGAGGAGCGAGGGGGTGTTTCATATGGCAAAAACAGGTGTAACGTCAGGAAACCATTGGCTCACATTCCGTCCGAGTATCAGATTAAAATCGACGAACAATAGTAGTGTGTATTATATTTGTGCGTTACGTAGCCTTTTCAATCACGATATAAATAGAGTTCGGTTTTTCTTCCTTGAACAAAAACATGACAACCCCATGTGATCGGTTTCGTAACTTCAAATGAAAGATCATGTGAGCTTCTGTCAACAATGTCATATTCTAGCATTAACCGAACTCGCCTATAGTAAGAGTTCTCTCAGTTTCAGTTCATAGGACGGCGGCCAAACGCGGAAAAGCCTTTGTTTTAAGGAGCAACCCGGTATTGAGGTATAATTTATTAAGACTAGTACCAGATGATTCAGCATATTTTTCTGCATATAAAATGAAAATGGACGACTTTTTGGATTGGTCGAGAGCTAAGTTAGGAGCAAAAAACTAAAAATATACGGAAACTAAAATTTCCAACTTTAACCTCGTATAACTTCTAAACCGCTTGAGGTAATAAAATGATTTTTGCTCTAGATTCTAGACAAATATATTCTCTTTAATATGGTGTATATATTGATCGAAAAATATTGAAGTAGAGCTCAAAAAATCAGTTAATTCGTAGGCGCGGCGCGAATGAGTAAAATATATGTTTGCTTTAACCTGCGATAACTCCTTTATATATTGGAATATTAACCTAATTTTTTGCTCAAAAACTGGCAAATTTAATTGGCTTTCTTTGTTCTCAACCGACCTAATTTCAATAATAAACTAACTAGAGCCGTTTAAACACAACAAAGCGCGGTCTGGCGGCAGAAGTTGTGTGGCTCCCTTCTCATTCCCGCTACCCGCTGACAACCACTGGCATGAATTGACCTTTTGTTTCGACGCCATATTGCGGTGCGCGAACATAGTTGCCAACAGTAAAAAAAAATTACTAGCGTTCTGAGGTGCTTTCCAGTGACGCACTCGAGTTACTCCTGAGCAGCTCAGGAGTACACCGCATTTACTGGCGCCGTTCCAGTGCTTGGAGTGTCATGCACTTGAACTACTCATTTCTGTTATCCCCTGCCCTCTCGTGCACCTACCATTGTTTGGGTGTTTCATGCTCCGAAATGGCGCGGGATAGGAAAATTCAGGTTATTTTCATTCGGTTTCTTCGAGAGTGTTCCAGTGCTGCTTATGACCAACAGTTCAAGAGCTTCACACTTCAGGAGCATGATACTCTTATAATTCGTGCACTGGAAAGCAGCTCTGTCAACGTAAAAATTCAAAGTTAGTGAATAAATTACATTTAAAATTTAAATTTTCCGCCTTTTACGAATGTTTTTGGAAAGAAGAGCCATCAATTTTAGCTTGTATTGGGCAGAATAAAAATAATAAAATATCTAGTTGACAGCTCGCTGGAAATTTTTGGTTTTCTTGTTTTGGCAACTATGTTCGCGCACCGCAATATGGCGTCGAAACAAAAGGTCAATTAAAAAACTACGTACGATGCCGTAGACTGCATGCAATGATATGACAGCCAATTTTCCTTGTTTATGGAACTTTGTGTTCTATTTTAAAAACTCTAGTTTATCGGGTTCTGCTTGCATCAGAAGTTATTGCACAGGTAAGATGACATTATCAGTAACTAGTAACACAAAAAGTTAACTGGAGCATCTACCACTTGTCCAATTAATTGTTACCTATATTTTACAGATTTCACTTTTACGCTTCACGTAAATTTTTTCATTTTGTAGACGGACTAACATTGACGTCATGGATAATTGTGTTTTATGTTGCAAAACATTTTCGACGGAATCACCTTGTGGTCCTTGTGTTAGAAATCCAACAAAACGGAGCTACGCAACAATTTTTTCGGCAGCAGGGTATTACTCCCTGTACCTTTACTAATAGATATTAAGTTTTTATTTTTATTGGTGCCACTTTTACCACAAATCAAGCAGTCAGCTTCTATATTAAACTTCTCCTTACCACTACGACCGCTACTTCATGGAAATACTTTGATTACCTATGTTTGGGTTATTTTATTTCACTACTTTATCAATATTATTTTTGCTGCAAAAAGATCTTCTGCAACTTATATGATATCTGACTATTTAGGGAATTTTTTCCAATTTTAATTGAGAAACGGTTAGATGTATTTCAAAAATTTTCAAAAGGTATTGAGAATAGTAAAATGTTATTCAGAATGCGTTAATTATGATTGACAATAGTCATATGTAATCGAGAAACCGTCAAATGTAATTGAGAAAACGTTAAATGTAATTGTGAATGCGTTAATTGTATTTCAGAAAACATCAAATGAAATTCAGAATAGGTCAAAAGAAATTAAGATCATGCAAAATTCGAAACTGTGGAAAATAATTAAGCAATCCATATCCGATATCCCATAAATTTTCACGAATTTGTGGCACCTCGTAGGTATATAAAATTTTCGAGTCTTCATGATCTCAACTTTATTTTACCTATTCTGAATGTTATTTGATGCTTTCTGAATTACATTTCACGTTTTTTTAATTAGATTTGCCCCCTTGAATAGAATTAACGCATTCTCAATTACATTTGACTATTCTCAATTACTTTTGACGATTTCTGAAATACATCTAACCGTTTCTCAATTAAAATTGGAAAAAAATCCCTAAATATACGAACATCATAATATAAGTTGCAGAAGATCTTTTTGCAGCAAAAATAATATTGACAAAGTAGTGAAATTAAATAACTAACCCAAATATAATGAAAGTATTTCCATGAAGCAGCGGTCGTAGTAGTAAGGAGAAGTTTAATATAAAAGCTGACTGCTTAATTTGTGGTAAAAGCGGCACCAATAAAAAGAAACACCTAATATCTATTAGTACAGGTACAGGGAGTAGTACCCTGCTGCAGAAAAAATTGTCGCGTAGCTCTGTTTTGTTGGCTTTCTAACACAAGGTGATTCCGCCGAAAATGTTTTGCAAAATAAAACACAATTATCCATTGTTTCAATGTTAGTCCGTCTACAAAATTAAAAAATTCACGTGAAGCGTAAAAGAGAGATCTGTCAAATATAACAATTAATATAACTTTTTCTGTTACTAGTTACTGATAATATTATCTTACCATTCTTACCTGTGCAATAACTCCTGATGCAAGCAGAACCAGGTAAACTAGACTTTTTAAAATACAAAGTTCCACAAACAAGCAAAATTGACTGTCATATCATTGCATGCAGTCTACGGCATCAAACGTAGTTTTTTAATTCATGCCTGTGGTTGTCAGCGGACAGCGGGAATGAGAGGGG